AGGCAGGTAGGTAGGTAGGTAGGTGCGCATGCAAGTGTATGTCAGCGTATGACAGATGTCACTGCATGTCGGAGTATGTCAATGTTTGTCAACATATTATGACGAGGTATGTCACAGGTCATTTTTTGTCAATGTGCGTCACTGTATGTCGAAGTAGGTCAATGCATGTCAGGGCATGCGAATGAAAGTGAATGCATGTTTATGGCAATTTCGATGTATGTATGTCAATGTATGCCAATGCATGCTAATGCATGCCAGCGCGTGTCATGTCAATGTATGTCAATGGACGTCATTGCGTGTCCATGTAGGCATATGTCAATGTATGTCAATGCATGTCTGCACATAGTTACGCATGTATGTACGTTTGCACAGGTGTATGCATGTATGTATGTACAAATGTATGTAAGTACATGGGTGAGCAGGCAAGTGGGTAACTGAGTAAGTCAGTAAGCTAGTAAGCATGTAAACAAGAATGTAATTACATGTGTATGTATGCATGTATGTATGTATGTATGTATCTATGTATGTACGTACGTGAGAACGTACATATGTCAGTAAGTAAGCAGCTAATGTAGGGGTGGATGGAAGGCTGGGTGAAGGGACGGACGTTTCTTATGCATGTATGCATGTACATGTGTATGTATGCATGTTTGCATGCATGATGCTGCCGGCCTATGCCATTTTGCATACATTGAGCATACTTGTACACAAAACATTAAGCATTTTCCTCCTCTCATCTTATGTATGTAGGTATGTATGTATGTATGTACGTATGTATGTATATACACACAAATGTTAATATGTTTACATGTATGTAGTTGTATGCATTTCTCTCTCTCTCTCTGTGGATACCTATGTATATATATATATACCGACATACATACATATTCCCTCTCTCCCTCTCTGTCTCTCGCTCTCTCTCATGCAAAAATCTTGTACCGTTCTGTGTCGTGCTAAGAGTTGACACCCTGCGCGGTGTATTGGTTTCGAAGTGTTCGAGATCTTGTTTGTGTTGGTGCTCCCAGGTAGCACTGATCTGTGCGAGTAATTTGCCAGCTCCGAGAATCCTTCCTCCCTTTTCTTGCCACGCCCTGAGGGACTATAAAGGGATACTGTTACCAACTATTCCGGTCCCTGCAGTATTCTTTCCCCGTTGCTTGCCACTCCCTAAACCCTGAACCCTAAACCCTAAACCCTAAACCCTGAAACCCTAAACCCTTAACCCTTAACCCTAAACCCTAAACCCTGAACCGCGCTGAGGTGGATACAGATCGGCAAGTTCCGACTCGGAGATTCGGGCGGCAATGACTTTGCCTTTATGCACCCGGCGCGCAAGAGCGGCAGCAACCCTAAAGCCCTGGAAGTCTACACGTCCTTGGGCTATTCTCGACAGCCATGTTTGTTTTTTGAAAAGTAAAGTTTCTGAGCCCTTCTCCACAAAGTGTTGCTGTCATCCTACACGGATCATGAGGAGGGCTGGTGGCTTCAAATCGGGCAGTGCTCTCGACGGCAACTTCGGCAACTTGCTGACTCGAGATCCGGCCCACTGGACCTGCCCAAGCATCGCAGACATGGCGCATGGTACATGCAGCCAGGTCGCATTTACATGAGGCTTTATATCGCTAAGAAATGGTTCCCTTCCTCACTTCTACAAACCAGGCAGCGAAGACTTCGGAGGGTGGGGAGATCGCTTCGTTCAGCTCGGAGACTGGCGCTTGGCTGCCATCGATGAGGACAACTTCGCCTTCGCGCATAAGAACGGCGAGAATGCAGAGGTCTGTGTAAAGGGCGACATGCGACATGTGTTGCACAGGTGAATAGCAGATCGCAGGTACACCAAGGAAGGCATTTGTACATTCCAGAACGAATTTTAAACGGGGTGTTTACGTGTATGCATGCGTGTGTATTTGTCCGTTTTGGAATGTCGGTGCATGTCTAGAGTCATGCATGAGGAAGAGCTTGCCTGTATACATGTAAATGCAGATGCACAAAGATGTACAGTCATGTGTGTGCACGTAGGTGCATGTGTCTCTTTAAAGCTCGTGGGAAGCAGTTTATACACATGCACGTAACTATACGCATGTGTATATGTACATGTTCAATGTAAATGTGTATATATACATATGTGTAGACAGAGCATTGTCTATGTCTACAAATATACGTATATTTGTGTGTATGTATATGTATACGTATACGTATATGTATTTGTATATGTACATGTGCATGTATATTCATATAGGTGTCGAGCGAATCAGTTGTCTGCGTACCCGCTTGGTAATGAAATTAGTACTCACATCGTTTAGCAATGATGAAAGTGGTTTTAACTTGGTATTGAATGAAGATATCCTGGGCACTTCATGCCTACATCGCATTTCTATTCTAAAGTTAGCATGAGACTAGTACTTGTTTAAATATCGACTTGATCCAACTGTTCTCCAGCATTGAATTTCATAACTGTGCCTCTGTACCATCTTAACAAGTATGAAATGTGTTTGACTTGGACTGTGTTCGTTTAAGTGTGCTCTTGGGAACCATGACCTCGTCATCTACTACTACAGCCTTAAAGCTTGACAAGATTGAATTACAGGTAAATGTTCAGGCAACTAACATGGAATGCACATGGGTTGGTTTTCAATCAATGATAAGTAAGTATTCAGGGGATGTCTAGTATCGTTTCTGTGACAGGTAATCCGATGCCTAGGGCATGTTCAATTAAGACTAGTGTACGAACATGTGAAGTTTTCCAAGGGCCTAACCTTTAGGCTGCATACTTGTTGACATGTCATGTTTCCGCCTAGACGATGGTTCGTATGTTCCGTAATGGCCGTTATCGCTTAACAAACAAATGGTAGTCAACATTCCCCAACAACGAATTTGTACTCAACTACTTAGTTTTGAGTGTTTACATATCTTGAATAGTCTTTTCCCTAACTGATATAACTGCCATAGTACTCATCAAACAACTATCAATGTTAGTTAGTTTTGAGGTAGGCTAGATGAGCGTGAAATCCAACTTCATGCTATGTGAGAGCTAACTGATTAGGGATCGGTTTTGCATTGAAGTACATTGTATATATTGTGGTTCAGCATGCGCTAAGATATACTAAATATCTGGTTGGTGTGAACACATAGTCACCTAGCCTCCAAAGACATGGGTGTGGGCACATGTAGGCAATAGAACGTTTACCAAAACAACAAAACACAAGCCACCACCAAAACACACATTTTCCAGGAGACTGGTCTCCCTGTTTTTTTGTCTGTTTTCTTGGGTTGTTTTGTATGTTTTTGGTTTTCGGGCTGATGTTTGAATGTGTGGTTGTTTTTATCAATTAAACAGTCTGCTGCCCTGTTCTGTGAACAACCCCCTGCTTTAAAAGCCAGGTTCGTTTTTGTTTCAAAACAAAGGAAATGTTTCAAAACGTGCTTGCGCACGAACGTGGATCTACTGGAATATGTGACAGGAACTTGGGAGCTAACAGACTTTCCCTATCTGTATCTGTGTATAGGTATATACACAAAAGCGTATATATGTTTTTGGAGACACATGCATGTGTTTGCGTAGCCGGAATAGGTTCGGTACCAGCATAGGAAGGTGCATCTGGAACATCATAATTACTCCGTCGAGGTCTTTAAGAGCGATGGCAACCGCGTGACGGGACCCTTCAGTGACCGTGTCTGGCGAAGGCTGGGGGAGTTTGCTTGGAATTTGATGTGTCGTGTGTGTATTTTTATATATATATATATGCATGTATATGTTTATGTTTATGTTTATGTATATGTATCTGAATCTGTGTGTGTAGTTATACTTGAACATGTGTGTATATACATATACATATTTACAAACATGCACACACATACTCATGCAGCATCATCTGCTGTTTCGCCGACATGACATCTCCGCCATTTGTGATCTTCCGTGTGCATCATACATACGTACATACCTACATACATAGATACATACGTACATACGTGCCGATGTGCGCATATGCGGGCAAACTTGTATTCTCTTCCTGCTTGTCCATTTAGCCCCCATGACTGGTTGCAATTACAGACCCGAGCCATCAGACCATTAATCACGATGCGCGAGTGCCTACCGTTGTTGCATGAGAAAAGCTTGCAGCTTGATGTTGGTGGAAGCTTCCCTTTACACAAGGCTCATGCCGCGCTCGGCTGATAGAGGCTATTGATGTGCTCCAATCTTCTTTTTTCCGGTCGTCGGGTGGTCTTAACAGGCAAAAGAAGCAGCGGCCATAGCTTGATGTTAGGAGCCCTGCCAGTATGTTTTAATATAGGGGCCTTCATAATTACCTGTACTATTTTTGGGGTTCCTTTTATAATTACATATAGTAGAATATACTCCACATCCCTATTCTAATTATTAAGGCCCCTACAGTGGAGATATGTATTTATACATAGCTTAAGATGTATGGTGTTTCCTCAACCTGCAAGTCTGCTCGGACCTCGCATGCTGCATATCCTGAGCAGGCTGCAGGACGCTCGTTTTGGGTTTAGGGTTTAGGGTTTCAACGTCCGCGAAAATGCGGAAACACTTGTTTGGTTTAAAGGAACTATAGATCCCTTTAAAGGAACCCTTAATAGAACCCTGATAGATCCGTCTTAAAGGAGCCCTACTTGGAGGTTCATGGGTAGTTATAAGTGGAGTTGCAAGTCCCCTAAATTGGGTCATTATTATAGTTACCCTACTTATAACCCCACTTATAACCCCCTAAACCCTAAACCCTAAACCCTTAAAGGAACCCTTAAAGGAACCCCATAACCCTACTTATAACCCCACTTATAACTACCCCTGAACCCTAAACCCTAAACCCTATAGAACCCTTTAAAGGAACCCTTAAAGGAACCCCATAACCCCACTTGTAACTACCCATGAACCTGCAAGTAACCCCTAAACCTCTAAAATCCCTCCCTTTGAGGTCCTCTAAACCCTTGTAGAACCCATTATAGTAACCCCGATAGACCCCTTTGTGCCCTGAGGGCCTAACCTTAGCCCTAGAGCCCCGTGAAGGCCCCTTGGCTTTCCCCACGGCATCACCTTCGGCCAGAACTTTATCCAGATCCTTGGGTTCTTGGTTTAGGGGGGTTTAGGGTTTAGGGTTTGGGGTTTGGGATCTAGGGTTTAGGGTTTAGGGTTTGGGGTTTAGGGTTTAGGGTTTAGGGTTTAAGGCTAGTTTAAGGTTTAGGTTAAGGGGTTTAGTTTTAAGTTGCCAGAATAGAGAAACCCTGTAATTATAGATCCCTATTATGGTAACTTACAGTTAAATATTTTAGGGCTTAGGGTTTAGGGTTTAAATTGCCATAATAAAGAAACTTAAAGAAACCATATCATTTACTATAGATCCTTGCTATGGTAGCACAAATCAAAAACCCTAAACCGATCCTTGTGATGGTAGCTTAAATTAAAAGTCCGATAACCCTAAACCCTAAATCCTAAGCCCTAAACCCTAAGCCCTAAACCGTTCAGAAGACCCCAGGATAGGCAGCTTCCGCCTGGCAGCGCTGGACGACAACCACATGTCCATCTCTCACCAGAACCCTTGTCCGAGCTTCAAGGTTTAAGGGTTTGGGGTTTAGGGGTTTAGGGGGTTAGGGGTTAAATTTTAGGGTTTTAGGGTTCCTTTTTCAGGGATCTATAAGGGGGATCTGTAAGGGGGTTTAGGGTTTAGGGGTTTAGGGTTAGGGGGTTAGGGGTTTAGGGATTTAGGGGTTTAGGGGTTTAGGGGTTTAGGGGTTTAGGGGTTTAGGGGCTTAGGGGCTTAGGGGTTTAGGGTTCAGGTTTTAGGGGTTTAGGGGTTTAGGGTTTGAAGCTCAAAGGTTTAGGGCTTTAAACTTCGAGCTTTAGGGTCTAGAGCTCTGGGGTTTAGAGCTTTGCAGAGTTTAGGGTTGAGGGCTTTGAGGTGTAGCGAATCTAGGGTTTCGCGTTTGGGGTTTAGGGTTTAGAGTTTGGGGTGTAGGGTTTAGAGTTTGGGGTTTAGGGTTTAGAGTTTGGGTTTAGGGTTTGGCGTTTGGGGTTTAGGGCTGAGGGTTTTGGGGCTTTAGGTCAAGGTTGTAGGGTGTTGCGTGTTGGGTTTGGCATTTAGG